AGCAGATGGAGATGCATAAAATGCTGCTGCCAAATATTTCATTAAAATACTCCTGAGGAAATGTATAAACAAAAACATGAAAGCTTTAGCATCCCCTTCGAGGTCCACTTTTTATGAATAGTTAAGTTAGGAAATAATAAAATAGAAAGTGATGATTAAATTGCACCGACCGATGTCTTTTAATATCCCATGACCATATATATGCCCTAATCAACTGACCAAGGATGTATTTGTTAGTGCTGCTACTGAGACGATTATTTTACCGTATCTTTTTAGAAAGATAAATAAGGAATTACGCAGTGCTTGATCGAATTTATCAGATGTGGGTGTTTAGCCGTCAGAGTGCATATTCGGTATTTTCGTTTGGATAAGTTCTTGTTGTTAAGCATTTTTGACACAGCAACGTTTATTTGAAAAACATTTTCGGTAGAACCTTTTAGTAAATGAAGCGTTAAGACGTTTGTTAACACACAAATATAGAAGAGATAATGTTATCAGAGTTTCTGTTATCTTAAACTCTTTTATTAAACCTTAACATTTTTAAAATTGTTTTTTTTATTTTTCAGTACATTTTATTTAAGGTGTTATTGTAACATAAATTTTTTCATCACATCACGTGTTACTTTTTGACTAACAACTAATATGCAGCCTGTATACAGTTTTATAATATACTTCGAGTCGTTGATACTTGTAGATAAAAAATGATCATTATATTTTCAGGTGTTACAGTTATTGCAATCAATAGAGAATCAAAGTTCGAATGAGAGTATTTCCAAACCAACCAAAGTGGCTTTACAGGCCCCATTTCCATACATAGAATAATATATTTCATATGTATAACTTTTAAGACAAGACAATCTTCAAGTACTTAAAGTATATATTCTTAATCGTTAATATTATGAAGTACCAAAAATCTCATAATGTTATGCTGTGTACTTGAGTAAAAAATGTACTGAGTTAATATGCACGTAAATAAATGACCAGAAATCAAAGTTATTTTGTTGAGGATGTGTTTTTTTTTATTGGAACTGTCTTACANAGATTGTTTATTTGTTTGTTTTTAAAATACCATATAACGAATAGTATTTTTTAAGTTTGATTTATGAATTGAATGAAAATTTTATGGTGTTTCTTGCACTGAGACATGAAACAGAAACTGAACACATGTACATTCGCAGGTCAGTTAAATCGAACAAAAAAGTGTTTAAGACGTACATGAACAAAAGTTAATATAAAGTCCTATTTTACGGAGAAAAATGTCAATTTGATAGCAAGTCTTTTAATCCTTGGCGCTCCTCCATAACAGTAATATTAGTAATACGTTGAAAAAATTTTTTTTTCTAATTTTCATAACATCTCTTTTATGAGCTTAACGTATTTGTATACTGGATCTTTTATTTAAGTATACACTTATTTATTAAAAATCAATAGCAGAGCAGTCTTATCACTTGAGGCATTCGTAAATTAACAAAAATACATTTTTAGGAAACAAAACAAAATTATGGAAAATCAAAAATTATAGTATCATCCGTGGACGTACGATTACTTCAATGATGAACTCTATGATGAAAAAAGAGTTGTAAAAATATCATTTGTTAAGCATAAAATGTTGTATACATCTGTTACACTTCTGTATCTCAGCAAAACATAAATCTGATAAACACTGAGGACAAAAATCATAAAGAACTTGTTGCATGTGTGTTGTTTAATGAAAATAGGTAACATTTGTACAACAACAATACGTATTTATTATGATAAAAAAATTTTCCAAAAAATTCGACAAGTTATTCTACAAGTTAGAATCATGCAAAATTTAAAAAAATTGTCAATTTTCAATTGAAAAAAATCCAAAACTTTCTAATTTCGCAAATTTTTAACTATTTCATGCGTGACTTGGTAGTACATTATATTTGCATTTTAATGAACTGTAATTTTAATTAATGACGTATTATTTTACGTACACTTATCGTTATTGCAATAAAATGAAATTTCTGAATCAATTAATTTTTTTCTCAAGTTTTCTTGTTGAAAAACATGTATTTGTGAACGCAATTGTAAGTATAAATTTTCAACTGTTAATTGTACACGTATCAAATGAAGATGGGAAAACTTTCAACGAGTAAATTACAGTCGATATTTCAGTTATTTTGTAGCAGTAATGCGGCAAAATTAATTGGATGTCTTCAAAGTGACAGAAATATTAACAATAATTTTCCAAAGAATGCGATTTGCGCTGAGCATTAATTGCATGCACCTACATATGGATACTTTGACGTAAATCTACGACCCAGCATATACCATTGTTAAAAACGTATTGATGAAAGTTCAAGTTGTCATGACTAATATACCGTATAATCTGGGGACAATACAATCATTTCCAACAATTAGGTTTTGGGGGTATGTAGGTCACTTAAATTTCTCTGCTCGTCATTGGCTTGTCTTACCTCATTCAACTGTTTCTACTTAATTTCGCAGACAGTGGATTCTTAAAGCTAAAAATCGTAGTTTCTATATGAAAACTATTGTAAAAAATTAATTCAGGATAAAATTAGTTCTTTTTAATATATCTTATTATAAATTTTTTCAACATATATATTTTTTTAACCAAAAATATCGAACAGGACAAATAGTACTCCCCAAAAATTTTTTTNATGCGTCAGATTGCTTTGATAAAAAATGAAATTCGGGGTACATATTGAGCTGTGGAAACAATAAACATTAAAGCTGTTTTTAGACGGAGTGGCAGTACATGTAGTTTTTGTAATATCAATTGATCATCGTAAAGTTTGTACATCGCCAAAGGGATCTGCAAGAGAAAAACATCTCATGCAGTTCAGGAAAGTTGATTTGAAAGTGGTTATAATATTATGAAACTCATTTTTTGTTTCTATATTCGTATTTTTTAATTTTTTTTATTTTTAAATCGAATGCATAAACGTAATTTATTGTTATAGTAAAAATAATACTTATTTCGAATTAATTCTAAGCATATTGTAAGATTAGTCATTTTTTTATGATCGAAGAACAAACCAGCCCCCCAAAACATTCAATTTGTCTAAAATATCCTGACAGGCGCCAAAAAAACCCACGATAACTGTTCCCCGAACGCATATCGTTGAAATTGTAATTCAAGTTCTACCTTCATCCAATTAACGAAAGCCATCTGATCTCCTTCCGTAAGAAAGCCCAAAGCTCCCTGGAATCGAAATTCCACTAAAACAGTCGTACATCAAGTAAAAAGAAAAAGAAAAAGAAAAAATTGTCCCTCCCTCTTCGAAACGTTTTTCCCACAAATCAAGTAAACGCACGGTCCGCTCGATGCGTGCACTCACGTGCTGTCACAAAAGTACAGCACCATGAAAATTTCAAGCCACCCCGAGAGCATCGCCGCTAATTTTCTAAAATACACCCTGGGCACGCCACACGTACACCCCCGAAGCGCTTGTGTCACGCTCAACGGTCTTCATATATATAATACGCACACACGAGCACTCCCTTGCACTATCTTCTCTCGCTCTCGATTTGCCGAGGCTGCTGTGTGTTCCTCCCTACCCCACTTGTCCCTTGTCTAATTACTCCTACGTAAGCGCCACGCACGTGTATATACCCTCTCCTCCCCCCGTAATGTATACGTACTACGCACCTGCACCGCGCGTAATATACGATATGTTATTTAGGACGTGCGTGCGTACATGCGCGAGCGCTAAATGTTTCGTCTAATGCGTGGATATGCGGAGCGCGCCGTGTTGCCTGTCTGACGGAATGCCTCCTCGAAATGAAGACGTATACAACCGTAAGTATATATGTTCACGAGCTCGAGTATATTCTTCGTTGGGGGGGGGGGGAGGAAAATAAAATAACTGACCTATCCACCCTATTTTTTTTCATCCACTCTACATTTATATTTGGAAATTTGGATGGTAAAGAAAGAGGATCATATTAATTTTTTCTTCCTTTTTAATGGTCTAGCTTTTTTTGGGCTTCCCTTTTTTCCACTTCACGGTAGACGATACCTCACCAAGTTTTTGATGCATCGCACATCATGGCAAAGCCCTAGTATATACTATTCTCGCGTAGTCGAGTGTAATTGTGTATCGTGAATCTCCGGGTTGATTATGATTTATGTCCGTAAGGATATCTTTGGAAAAATAAATTATCCGCAGAAGTAAAAAGTGTCAAAATTGAAAATAAAAAGAGTAATTTCTCAACAATAGTTATGAGTAAAATATCGTAACTAATATTCGATTATGGTAGTTTTGTCTATTTACCTTTTTTTAAATAAGAAAAAATGTGAATTCACTACTTTCAAAACAGGAAAAGCCAAAATACTCCTTTTAAGCTAGTAAACTTCAAAAAAGTATTGTTATATGTTTTTCACCAGAAGTAGTTATTAGTTAACATTAAATTATTNGATTACACACGAGGACGCGAGAGAGCGTTGAATAACCCCCCGGCTCTTGTGCGAGGCAGCGACGACGTGGTACTGAAACTGCGAGTCAACGGTGAGGCTGCAGTGCTATGGGAAAAAGGGGAGGGACGACCATACCAGAAGAAGAAGAAGAAGAGAGCCGGGATGTGTAGACACGTTGGGGTAGGGGTTCTCTCGATTTTTCGGAGGTTGGACGCACTGCGGCCTGGTGACGACGGCGGGAATCGTCGCTCTGCGGGCATGGCTCGCTTTTTCGACTGCTACGTATACCTATATTTGTAGTTCTGTTGTGCAACAGATGAGGAAAAATGTAAGTCTCGCTGAATGGGCTGGCGAAAGCAATGGTGAATTTACGACCTGCACTCGCTGAAGGGCGAACCTTGCGACAAGAAGTGGACGAAGGGGGCTGTAAATATCGGAGTACAACTGCAGCTATGAATAGGGCAGTTTGTGCGACAGTTTCTTTTTTTCATTTTAATTTCACTTTTAACATTGGCCCAAAAAAAAAAAAAAAAAAAAAAAAAAAAAACGAATGTTTGCAGATCTAGGGTGGGAGAGAAAAAAAGTTTACCTCTGTGGATACTCCTGCAAGACGCGTACGATCCTCTGGCGCTGGTCCTGTTTGCCGGCGGCCTCGCGCTTCCCGAAGCCGATGGCCGTCGACACGTACTCTGGCTGGAAGCCGCGAATCTCGCGGGGCTTGTCCCGCGGTTGGCTCACGTAGCCGCAGTTGCCCGAACTCGTGCCCTCGGCCAGCAACAGGCCTATGAGCACTAGGCACACGAACACGCTGAGCTGCATGGTAATCTGCAATCGTCGGTGAGGGCCGGCGACGGAGAAACACGAAATTAGATTGGGTTGTTTGGTTATGGGGGGGGGGGGAGTTGGTATTTCATGGAAAATGGGCTGTGGTCACGAGATGTTGGTGAAAGCGCTGAAAAATTGAGTGCCCACGATTCGCGGAATGATTAATTTTTATATATCACGGTTGTCGAGAGTAAAGGGGAGTGGGTTATTTTATGCTGATGTTCAAGGATGTACCGAGAGGCGAAAATGTTCAATTTTTCAGAGATTCCGAGCTCTAATACAACACGAGCCTCAATTCTACCCGTAAGTACAATTGAGACCTCCATCACAAGATTGAATATGTTATATATTGTTCTTTTGCCAGTGCAGTTTTTGTGTTAACAACGAGATCTAATTTTGATAAGGTTGAAATGTATACGGCACATGGAGCTACTGGAAATTTTATACACATATCTTGGAGTCCTCCTCAGTTATGGCATTCTTGTGAGTTTTTGTATGAATATTATGGTGCAGTTTATTAGGAGTGATTGAGACAGTGCGGAAAATATCGACTTTCCACACCCTAGTACAAAAAAAGTAGTGCACAAGTGGTGGTCGGTAACTCTAGTCACTCATCGCATGAATCTATTACTATTCGTGCGGGAAAACGTTTTTACTTCGCTCGTTCATACGTCAATAGCTATAAAAAAATGAACATGTGCCTTTAAAAAACAAAAATATATTGAGTTATTTAAAGTATGCTGACAAACACTACTTTCTTTTTTGTCACTAGTGCGCATCCTTTCCAGGGCAATTGCCGATCTCGAGGGACCTTTGTGATCGCCCTGGCTGGAGACGCATCAGTGGAGAATGCTATTTTTCGTATCGAGATTGCAGTAAACGTTCAAATGGTAAAATAAACGTTTACAGTAGAAAAAGTTGTTTTCTGCCCTCGGGTGGTTTTGGGAGGCTGGTACTTCCTCAGGCAAAAAAGCAGTTTTCCGGAACTCGTTCGAAAAGTCTCCTTTACGAACCTCGTTACGGACCTCGCCTTCGGCTCGGGCCGCAAACCTCTCGGTTCGCAAACAGAGACTTTTCAAACTCGAAGGAAAACTACTATTTTCCCACACTTGTAACTGTTCGGAACAGGAGTTTTTCACATTTGTTAAAGATATAAAAATTGTATGAGTCAAAAAAACTGAATGAATAAAAGTATTTCTTAAAACAAGTTATAATAGATAAAAGAGTATCACGTATTTTTAATGAAAATGAGCGAGGAAATCAAGTGATACGCAGAGAGAAAAAAATAATAAAAATTATAGAGATTTCCAGCAAAAATTACCGTTCCATACAGTAAATCGGATGCAAGTTGGCAGAAAAAAAGGGAAATATTGTTGTTTTTTTTTTCAACAGGAAAAGTTATAGATTGAGCAGTAAAAGTTAAACCTTAAAAGGATCGGTTAATAAATTATACTTTCCCGCATAGTAATTTTTACTGTTTTAATAATTACTTTTACTTTTCAAACCATAATTTTTACTGCTAACAATAACAACTTTTTCCTTGTTTGACAGCTTGCATCCGATTTACTGTGCAAAATGGTAATTTTCGCTGGAATTTCTCTA